TATATAAATATAAATAAAATTTTTAAATTTTAAAAAATTTTATAATTACTAACTTTTTTATATATAAGTATTATTAAATTTACTATATAAAATTATTAATTTTTTATAAAAGTAATATATTTGTAACTATGACTACTGTAGTCATATTTCATAAAAGCCAACTAATTTTAAAGATCAGGTATAATATAATACAATTAAAAAAATTTAAAACAAATGTTTACTTATATCAAAAATTATTAAAAATCATCTATAACTCAAAATTGAGTATATAAAAAAACTACTCATTGTATTCTAACAAAAAAAAATCCTTGCAAAATTTTACTATAAATTATCTACTTTTACTTACATCCTATTCTTATCTCAACCTAATTCTAATGAATAAATAACATGGTTATTTTAGTTATGACTACAGTAGATTATAGTTACAAATATATTAATTTTTTTATATAATAAACTAATTTAAATAGGTAATTTTCTTTTTATTATAATTTTTTTTTTATATAATAATTATAGTTGAAATTTTGCAGATTTATACTTAAAGGTTACACTAAAGTACTTGTATAATAACAAAAAATACTCAATTATAATTGATTAATCTAGAAATATATCAAAAATTTTTAATTTTTTAATTTTTTTTAAAAAATTAACCAACTTTGAGATTTTTTAAAACAATATATAATCAAAAATTAATTTAATTTTTTTTTATAAATATATTCTATAAATCTTCAAATATTAAATATATTTATTTAGTTGCAAGTTAATATATAAAATTTTGTGTAATTACATTTTAATTCAAATGTATCAAGTTGATGTATCATGCTTAATGAGATGACCAATATTTATCAACGCATGATCAATATTAATGTTATCTGGCAATTCATGATCATGATTCTCAAGTCGTCATTGGCTAACTGAGTTTTAATTCGAATAAACATGATTACGACATGACACACAAAAAATAACAAGATCTATGATCATAAGAGTTTGCCGGATAACTGATAATATTTAAGTTTATTTAAAATAACATAACTTTTTATAAAAACAATACTTTAAAAATCTGACTGGTAACTCTGTTCTTTATAATAAGCTCTAAAAATTGCCAAATAGCTATTAAAAATATTACCTCTCTAAAAAGTTGATGTGTTTTAAAGTTATACTATTTTTTTATTGTCGAGTATAAGCTTTTATGTATTTCAAATTTATTTTTAACTTATTTTTTCTAATACATAATAACTTATTAAAATTAGTTAAATACTTAACAAGATATATAGATTTGAAAATATATAAAAATATTTATTTTTTTAGAACGTAAATATTGATAATATGAAGAATTACATCTTAAATTACCTTTATTCTATACCTGTATTTAGGGTAACATAACTTTAAGTCGAAAGGATAATAACCTCGTCACCAGATGAAATATCATAATACGATAATTGACGTAAGTCATCATTCATCTCAATTTTTAATATTGTTGAACCATTTTCTGTCTTTAATTACAAATCAAGTTAGCAAAGTACAAGGAAATCAATGATCAAATGTATAACATACTTGATAATTGGTAATAGCAAATAATCTCTGCCGTGAAGCTGGTATTCCAAAAAGTTTTTGAAGCAAATTCTTCAAACTTCGTATTTCCATTGTCCCTATATTAATTTGAGAAAATTTAGAAATACACATACTTATAGCTTGTTACCAAACGATTTTCCAAAAGCCATTTTCCAGAAAAGATAATACAACTAGATTGGTCAATTTTTTTTCATGTCATCTCGGGGACTTGAGTTACATTACTTACAGTTAAAGCTAATTTATGAATTCCGCATTTACAAATTGCTACGTCACAATAAAGTTCCAATCCGGATATCCATATACTATTGATATCCGGATAACCCGACAAATATTCGGATAATTATCCGGATATCAATAGTAAAACGAAATATCCGAATATATTCAGATCTGGATATCTGATAGATAAATGGATAATGGATTGGAACTCTACGTCACAATACAAATATCATTAAAATGCGGCAATGCAGCAATTTAGTAAACTTGCGGTCAGCTATATACATACTAGCATAAAACGTTGTGCTTATATAGAGACTTTACCTAATAGCTTTTTAGAAACCTTTTTTATAGGATCTTGTTCAAGAGACGGCCGGGAAGTAATTGTAAGGGCTATAGATTCATAAAAAACATAAATTATTAATACCCCAAAAATCCATATACAGTCAGATCTCTCTATAGTCACCTCCTCTACGGTCACATTTACTTATAATCACAGCAACTTATATAAAACAAATAAATTTAACCTCAAATAAGCACAAAATTCTTAGAACTAAGGGTGTGATTATAGAGAAGTCTAACTGTAATAATTTTAATCAGCTATACGAACATATTAAACGATCCTTTAAAACATTGCTGGTGGCTTTCATACTGATCTCATCAACAACCGGTGTACCGTGTAACTCACATAATTCCTTAAATCGCGGATGTTCTCTCTCTATTTCTTCTGAAGTTTTTTTAAAATCTTTTACACAAACCCTAAGATAAAATCTCTCTGCATCAACTCTGTCCCCTGGAGATATCTAGACGGCAATGATATTCCGATATATCATGAACTTACAATCGTATACAAGTGCCTCATCTTTGAAAAAACAAAACTACTTACAATACTGCCATTTAAAACTGATAAGCCTTTAATCCGACTAATTATTGACATATTTGCTTCAGTAGGTTTTTCATCTATATTCAAAAATTATATCGCGATCACACAAAGTTAACTATTATATCGCAATATGAATTAAATAAATTCACACATACTTTCAAGAAATGGATTTTTTCTAATTCGTAGCTCATGTAACGAAGGAAATTTGTTGAGTTCATCGATACTATTCCAATCACTGATCTTGTTTTCACTAACGTTTAAATAACGTAATTTTGGAAATGCTTTATTACTTTCATTTTCCTTTGGGTAAAAAATGCGCTCAATTATATTATTATTGAGAAAGAGATCTTCCAGACTATATTAAAAATTGCAATTAACTTTTTTGTATTAAATGGATTAAACTGATTTGAGAAAGAAAGCTTAATACCAAGGTAAATCCGAGAAACATGCAATTGTACCCCAACTATTTATACCATTAGATTCAAGGTTAAGCACTTTTAGTTTTACAAATCCTTTAATCTTATTCACTGGATGGTTTTCTTTTTCATTCACATTATTAGACAATAATCTAATGTTATTAAAACCGAGTTGCAGGTTTTCTAAACTTGGAAAGTATGGTTCAAGCAATTCTATCTGAAAGAATCAGAACAAATCATTATTTATACAATAGAAGTCTAATAGAATACACATCAAATATAAATTATAATAAACCTGATCCCAAAATATTCGAGTATAGTTAAGTGAAAGACTTTTCAAATTTAAAAAGGCATTTGAAAAATTTGGTACTGCCTTCAGCATTTGAAATCGATTGTAACTGGTTTCAGAAATAAAATAAAAATTAAATAACTATATTATTTTATTAAAAATCACAATCAATAGAAAAATTCTTCCTTACTTTAAACGTAATACTTCCAACTTTTTTAGTTCTTGACATATATGGGCAACAGTTTCCCAGTCTGACAGTAAATTCTTTGATAAATTCAAGTCGACAATATCTATTCATAAATTGAAATAGTCATTAGATAAATCATCAAATTAATAAAATATTTATATTCAATGTTAATGTACTTGGACATGTAGCTTCAATTTCTCCTGGGTTACCAGCACTTGATATTTGCTCGAAAGAAAGACCAACTTCGGTCAATAGGTCTAATTTTCTATTCTAAAATATATTAAAGATATGAAATTTTTTTTTTTTTAGATTAATGATATTAAATTTGTTAATACCTACCGTTGTTTACGGCGAATTTTGTCCCATCCTAATGCTTCAACTTCAATTTTAGTATTTCCTGCCCAATAGAGCGTATCTAAATCCTTTTGGGCATCATACGTCTCTTCATTCTCTTGCATCATTCCAGAATCATCATAGTCAATATATTTGTTAATGAGGGCAGTGACGAAACTGCGGCCTGTATTTATCTTTGATGAAAAACGGATAAAAGAGCCACTATTTGGTACACTGTAATTGATTTATATTGACACATACGTAACTTTATTTCGAGAGGATATACGGATGTAACACATGATAACTCTATGCTTTATACGAACCTACAAGTAAAATATCTCGTGCCCTCATGAACACCATCATGTTTTCCTCTTGATACGTTATCCCATTCTACGCCAAGCCACTCTCCCTTGGTAGGTGGAACGGGCCCAACATAACGGACTGTAGCCAGCTGATCTTCGATTTGAATGCGTTTCGAAAGAAGGTCTAAAGACATCAGATGCTAAACCACTGCTGAATTTTTAAATATATATATGATATGTTGTACCTGATCGGGGCAGTCCCCTGAAAAATTCTGTGCCAGGTTTTGTCGATCATTGTGGCGAGATCTCACATCTACAAATCATATTTCAAGGATCAAGTGTAACGTAAAACGACGTTCGTTTTGTCAAAAAAAACTGCTTATCGTTATTTCTCTCTAACAAAAAGGTTATATAACTATATATAACTATATAGTCCCCAGTCTTTAACTCTTCCATTAATGATCGACAAAACCTGGCACAGAATTTTTTCATGAGACGATTCCAATTTGGGGTACTACATGTACTATTTATAGTAACTGATCCCCCTTTTTTTTTCTTCAAACTTCGAATGATGGCATTTATTGTGCGCTTTGCAATTGTTATATCAGTCTTGATTTGTCTGCAAACATGTGTGCTTTGGGGACAAGAACATGGCGAGGTACAGAGTTTAATAGTTTTTGTATTCCAAACTTTTGTTTAAAAAATAAAGATAACCGATTCATTTTATAATATCAAGCCTAACGAACTTAGATATGCTGTTTATCATAAGCTTCCTCACCATTCAAAATATTTAAAACGTGGCGAAGTTGTTGTAACATTATCCCGCGCTGTCGCAAAGTATGATGACACTGGAGATGTGTTATCTATAAATGAATTTGAAAATGCAGATAAAACGAGCAATGATCCATACTATCTAATAAAATTAGTCGACGAACAAAACCCGAAAAATGTAATGGAATCCTTTACAAAGATGGTAATACAATTTATGTATACAATGGTATTATAAAAATATTGTTGATAGCTCAAATTGAATTTCTACGAAATTACAGTGTTTGTTGAAAGCATCGAAATTCGAAGATGAAATCATAATCCATTTAAATGGAAACAACGCGTTTCACTTTGATTATTACACTTCTATTGATCAATGTAACGGTACATCTGTTTTGACATCAGTGAGTCTAATGTGTTATATGAAATGGAATAATTTTTATCACTTTTATGATTTATGCCAATTTTATTATATGGCACATCAAATAGCAAACGGCAAATTTTAAAACTATTATTCAAATAATTAAGCCTGTGAACGGAGCTAGGTATTTTAGATACCACTTATTTCATAATTAAATGGTAATTTGGTTACTGAGTTATGCGGTTTTAACATCATTGTGTTTTACCATATATAAATATAAATATTTTGGCTAACAAAGGCCGAAACTAAATAGAGCAATGCCTATAAGAGAAGATGGGACGGTTGAAAAACCACCAGAAGAAAAAAGCTTTTTACAGAAATATTGGTATGTATACATAGATTTAATTTAAGTCATTTATTTTAATAGTCCATTTTTTAAAATGCTTTTGTTATATAAATAGGTGGTACCTTCTGCCTCTTGTCATACTGTTACTGACAGGTGGTCAAGCTGAGGAACCCCAACAGCAGCAACAACAACGAGGTGGAGGTCAAGCTGCGCGTCCTGCGCGACAGTGATTCAGTTTCCGAATAGTTATATCATTATATTTTCTTATGGTATGATGAATACTTTCTAAGCGCACGTTTCCGGAACAGCGCATTTAGAAAATTCTGCACTTATAAAAATTTATTTGTATCAACTCCGATATAATATTACAACTTAATCTGATAATATTTGTTCGGCTAATTAAATCAACTATATTGATAGAATGAAATATGCATTTAGTGTGTGAACTTAGAATGTGTTCGCTATATCTATTGAAGCCTGATATAATGAAAGATTAAATCTTCAATTGTGATCATTTGTTTTATATTGATAAAATTGGAAAATAGATTAATAATGTACTTCTACTTAATCACTCAAAATATGAGATAATAATTTTTTTTCTGCGCAATGAGGCCAAGCAAATCTGTATATCAAAGTGCAATCTGTTATGTTATACCACTTTTATTAAACAGTAAACTACTTATCTAACTACTTAAAGTTTATATTAAAAGAATTTTTTTGTTTGACAAGCAGTGATATTATCTTCGTAGTTTTTTTATTTAGTTTCCTTATTTTTTTTTCTATTACTTGCTAACTTTTATTTTTTTTTTCTAGCATCTTTTTTTTTTATTTATTTATAATTTTACTTGTTTTATTTATTGACTTTTTTATATTAGATTCTTTATACTTATAAAAAATGTTCTATACTATTGTTACTTATTTTATAATTGTTTTGGATATTGTATTAAAGCTAATAATAAAATTTTTAAATATTAAATTTAATAATGTTAATATACGTAGTAAATTAATTTTTTTATATAGTATATATGTATTATATTTAAACTGCTATTTAGAGTTCAGAGAACAGAAGCATGAAGCATGAAGCATGTTCCTAAAGGCATGTTTCTAAGCATGCCTATAAGCATATTTTAAGTTCAAAATGCATGCTTTTGTTATATAAAATTTAAAGTTATTTTAATCATTTAAAAACTAGCTTTATAGATACTAAATCAATATAAAAAATTTTTTAAAAGTTATAACCTATATATTAATTATGTAATTTAAAAAAAAAACATACGATTTTTTTTTGTACTTTGAATCTTATATTATTGCAATATTAGTAAAGATCTAAAAAGGTTGCAAAAAGGTTTTTTTAAAAATTTAAAACAGTATTATTAATAATTTGATTTTTTTTTATCAAAAGCTTACTTATTTTCTTTTTTTTAATATATAATTTTTTATTTTTTTTATCTTTTTTTCTAAAAAATTATCAAATTTGTGTTAACTTTCTTTTTTTTGGTATTAAGATGACCTTTTTGGTCTTTTGACTTTTATTACTAATTTTTTTGTTAATGTGATTTTATAAACTACTACAGAAAGAGTGTACAATTGGTTACATATATAACTTTTTTATATCACCTATTTAAGGAGTTCATCCAAAGGTTTCTCTTCAATTGCTGTATCTAATACTTCTGCTTGGGTGTTCTATTTTAAACCTTCTGAATCTGCAAATATTAATATAAAAGAATCAAATAGGCAAGAACCTTGGGTAAGAGATAGTATAACAGGCATCTGTGTTAATATTACTAAGTTATGCCTAGGTTATTGTCTTAATCTTAGGACTATTTTATCTTTGAGATAAACCTTACAAAGGCTTCTGTACCTATTTTTATAGTTGAAACAGAATTGCTATTGCAGAACTAACATTTGTGATCAGAGTTATATTATTTAACTATTATATTTTTGTGGAGTTTATTTAAACCTTAGCATCTATTTTATACTATATTTTTAGTACTTTAGTATATCTTTGACTGTTCTCCAAACTTTTAATTCAAATAACCTATATAGAATTACAATCAGTTTATTGGTATATTAGGTCAGTTTGATATTCTTTCTTCCAGTTTATTTTAATAGCCTAGTTGATAATTTCTTTAGAATTTCCAATTATTTATAATTAAAAAAAATTTATATATTCATATTTCTTATAATTTTCTATTTAAAAAAAGTATTAAATAATTTTGTCTTTTAAGTAAAAGTAAATCAAATTAATTTTATTTTTAAATTTAATTTTAGATTTATCTTTATAAAATAATTTTGTTTTATATATATCTAAGAGCTCAAAATGATTTGTTGCTTTTAGTTATTTTATTTTCTTTTTTAATTTTATTTTTTTTGAATCTGTTAAATTTTTTAATTAAATTTTATTAATATTATTTGCAAAATCAATTAGTTTTTAAACAAGCTTCAAACAAACCTTAATATACTTTTTTGTCAATTCTGAAGTTATGATATGTAATCTGTTTAATAATTTTAAAAAAGTAGTATCTAATTTTATCAAGTTGTTTGTTACATATTGTAATAAGATTATAGTTGGTTTGCAACATCTATATTATTTATGTAGTTATTGTAGTTATTTATTATTTTAAGAATTTTTAATTTTTTTTGATTTAGTTCTAAATATTGCATGCATTTTTACTGCATTAGTGCTTACTACTTTTAGCTATTATTTTCTTATTCTATTTTTTATTCATTATTAACAAGACTATAAATTGTTATCAAAATTGTTATAAAATTATTATCTTATTAAAAAATAACTAATACATTGTTTATTATAATACTAGAGTAAATATTTCAGTTAAGTTTAATATTTTTGTTTATCTTTGATTCTTTTAAAAAATTAGAGTAAGTTTTCTAAATAGTTTTATAAGCACTGATATTGGTTTATCAAAAAAGAAAAATATTAGTAAAATAGTTATTTATATATATATTAAATAAAAATTCAGAATATAAAAGTTGTTCAATAAAATAGTAAACTAAATACTTAGTTTGACTAAGAATATATACTTTTATTACATTATTTAAAAAGATATATAATGTTAGCTAAAAAGTATAATGTACTTCAATTTATAAAGAAATAAATTTTAAAGCCTTCTGAAGTTAGCTTGTTTTGATTTTAATAGTATAAATTCTTTTTCAAAAAATCAAATAACTTTTTTTTTATTTAAAAAAAAATAATCTTTTAGATCTTTTAACTTTTATTAAACATTTTTGATAATATGTTCTATGTAAAACTATTATAGAAAAAGTGTACAATTAATTATATATATAACTTTTTTATATTATTTATTTAAGAAGTTTATCTAAAGGTTTCTATTAATTGCTATACCTAACACTTTTGCTTGAATATTCTATTTTAAATTTTCTAAATTTGCAACTTATGTTAACTTTATTTAATCATATTTAGATCTTTATTTTAATTTTAGAATTATTTTATCTTTATGATAAATCTTCTAAAACTTTTTGTATATCTATTTTATAGCTAACTTTATATTATAATAGCTAAATCAATACTTGCAATTAAAACTAACCATTAAACTGCTATGCTCTTATAGAGTTTATCTAAACCCCAATACTACTTTATAGTATATTTAAAATATTTTGCTTTTGCTTTCAGACTTCTAATTTAAATAAACTAATAAAACTATAGCTAATATATTGATATATTAGATTAGTCTAATATTCTTTTTCTCTAGTTTGATTTTGGTAGTCTGGTTAGTAGTATCTTTTATTTGAAGTTCTTGTTTATTCAATTCTTTTATATTGGTATCTGTTTTATAAAGTTAGCTTTTACAGTAATACTGTTAAAAACTTATATTACTTCTCTGCTTAGGTCTTCTTAAATAGATGTTTTGTTTTCTAATTTTTATAAATTTATACAGTTATAAGAACTTATTTTAGATTTGCATTATCTAATGCTGGTTTGTATTTCTTTATATAACTAGTTATATAAATGTCACATGACTTGCTAGTTATAATATTATAACTGTAATTACAAATATCTTAAACTAATTGTTAAAAACAATTGTTATAATATATAAAAATCCAAATTTTACTATCAGTAAGTTTTGAACTTACAAATTTTACTTAGAGGTTTAATAACTTATTTATTTTACTAAGTTGTTACATTTTATTGAATAATTATTTTATTTACTAAGATATTTAAATTTGGTATATAAAGCTGCTTTGAGATATTACAGATATATGAAAGCAATAGCTTCTTAAAATAATTATTAATTGTTATAGTAGAAAACAAAATATGTAAAAACCTTTTAATTATTTCAAATTGGTTTAGTGATATTTATTTTAAAATATAATATATAGAAAGTTTTTTATTTGTATTTCAATATTGGTTAAAAAAAAGCAATCTATAAAGTTCTTAATAAATAACAAGTGCAATTCAGATAATAAGCTCTCTATAACTTAAATACAAAGTACAACTATTGTTTACTAATTATATTAGCACTTTTTGTTAAAGTATAAAAATTTGTATTTTCAACAATTGTATTTAGTATACTAAGTAAAAAAATATTAATAGATCTAAAGACACTAGTATTAATATGTAATAGTAATTGAACAAATACTTAATGCAGTAGTTTCTAATTAATAAACAGTTTAAAGTTTGATAGTAATAATAACAATTCTTAGTTTTTTTCTAATAACTTATATTTTTTTGTATGAGTACTTCAATGCTTATTTTATTTATTTTTTTTTTCTATTAGTTGATAATGAACAATTAAGATAATGCTAATAAGGTGTAAAAAAATATGTATTTTTTCTTATTGTTTATAAATATTTTCTGAATTTCAAAAAAAAAGCAAAGTTAAATCAAATATAGAGAATTTGTTTTATTAAGAATTAAAACTTTTTTTAGATTTATTAAAAATTAAAAAGTTTTTTTTTATTAAAATAAAATATATTTTTTTAATATTAAAGTCTTTATCTTTAAGATGTGCCATTTTTATTCAATTATATAAGACATAGGTTGTCTCTAAGACCACTCTTACATTGAAGGTTACAACTAGCCATACATATACTTTTGGTGCTAATTTTAAGTAATCTGCTTATACATTGCTATATAAGTTCTATACTAGATGCTATACCTGCAAGCCAACTAAGAGTCTTGCCTATTTAAACACTTTGTATATGCTATTCTTGTATTATAAGAGCATCTTTAAGGCTACATCCATCTAAG